TACTGCCTCCGCCTGGGTAATATCTGTCACAGATGTTAAGCTCACTTTGCATCTGGACATGATGAGGACAAGCATTTTGTGGCAGTATTTAACCATAGATTATCCCGCTTCCGCTGACTCCTTAATCATAGCCATTCCTGCCTCGATACTACGGTCATAGAAAATAATTGAAAGACCTCTTTCAAATAAAGCCGTTGGATTACTTGCTGCCATACATATGTCCTTAAACATTCTCATCCATGCCATATCAAAGACCCAAGGTGTGGGCACGCTTAACAGATCCACGCTCCGTATGAAGATTAGATCCTTGGAGATTTCGTTAAAATCCCTAAGGGCCACTTTAGCAAAACAGTAATCTCGTACGTAATTACTGATTATCTTCTTTAGTATTTCGGTTTTCATCTCGATGGACAAATCATAAAACCCTACTTGCTTTGCCATAGGAGACGAAAAGTGTTTCCAGATACTTCTTGGGTCTATGTTAAATAAAAGAGGGCACAACTATCCAAAAACTCTTGCAGTCGCTGTTGGAAAACGAAACGACACGTCGTTTGTATTTCTTTGTTTCATTTTTTATTTCTTTGTTTCTTTTTGTTTAAAAAAATCGTAAAACATCACATTTCCAAATACAATATTCGACTGTAGTTGTACTAAGTAATCCTGAGTAAAACATCACATCTCCAATTACAGGAGTTCAGAGTAACTACGTTATCACCTACTTTCAGAGGCACCTGCAGAATTTTCAGCTCCAACATTTTGACCTGCAGTAAAATAGGAATAAATTCCATAAGATTCAGGGTGACGCTTATTATTCGTCTTCGCCTTCGTAGACTTCCGTCGACGTTCTCCAAAGGATGTATGCCTTTTCTACTGTTTTGCCCCCCTTTTTATCTCGTGTTCCGGGGGTAAAACACCTAATTGCTTTATATCATTGGGGACAACCCAGTGTGACTTGTGTGGGACTGGATAGATTGTTCTGTTATAAGCAAAAGCCCACTGCTCGGTTAAATAATACTTTGAACACAAGTCCTCTACGTATATATCCTCTTCTCTGTCTGGCCGCTTCATGTAATGCTCAAGTGCGGCGAAGGCATGCACACAAGGATACTTGTCTATATCAAACCACTTGTACGAGCAAGTTTTACTTTTCAAGTTCACCGTGTAATTCATCCCATCGCTTCTGATTACACTGTATTCAATCTGACTGATGTTTAACTCGGTGACAGTTAGCCTCTTCCCTTCAGCACATCTACTGTGAAATATATTCTCAACAAAAGCCACCAGTTTACGTCCTGATGGCGTAGAAGCAGCCTCGTTCCTATGCTTGTTAAACCACTCACACAACTTCGCAACAATCATATCCACCATAGGTAATAAGCATAGCCTCCTTGCATCCTTAAATACACTACTCAAGGACTCCACAACGTTACTAGTCTCTAGGTTGTACCTATCTCCTGGAAAATAGCACCTGGCCCATTTCCATACTTTTACACGCCTTTCTAGATACTCGGTCACTTTAGGATACTTTAATCCCATCCTCGTATAATGATCAAGAAACTCGGCCTCTATATACTGTCTTGCGCACTCCATGAATGTTTCTGCAACTATTTCTCTATCCCTTAAAACTTGCAATTTTACATTCTGGCTCAGATGCCAGATGCAATACGCATGTTTAGCTTCCGGGTAAACCTCAGATACTGCATTGATGAGGCTTACCTTTCTGTCAGAAACAATAACCAATTCAGGACTATCGGATATAACAGTTTTCAACTCCCTGAAAAACCAGCCATAACTGTCATTTTTTTCTGCATCAATTACTCCAAAAGCAATCGGATAATGGTGACGATTACCATCCTGACAAGCAGCAAAGATTAGTTGACAACCCATTCCAGCTTTCAAAAAAGTTGCATCAACAGTTACCACTTTTCTCATTGCTACAAACCCGTCAATGCAAGCTCCCAAAGCGACAAATAAGAACTTGAATCTTCGTTGTTCGTCCAGTAACACATTGTGTTTTGTACCTGGATTCACCTGCTCTAGCATGTACAAATACGAGTACAGGTCTCTATAGCTGTCTTCAGGATAACCACGAATCAAAGATTTACTTTCTGTATTCCTCTCCATGCGGTAGAGTATGACACATTCACAGAAGCATTATTTTTAACCGTAACCATGACATCGTGAGGAGTTGGTGTATCTAATCGACCTTGATACGCTTCCTTAACAACAGATGCTACTAATCCTGGTGTTCTTTTCCTTTGTTTGATGTTTGTACTCGCACTGACCCGAGAACAACTATGCATCTTCCGGTATACTGTAATAGAATAACATGGTGTATTTGCATCCTTCCAAGCTCGTAAATACCAATTACACCCCGTTTCACCGCATTTCACCACGTATCGCTTCTTATCTGAATTCTTAATATTCAGACCAAAACAATTCTGATGTGAAGCTCTATATAATAAATTTATCAAATCTTGTTTACATATAAATTGTTGCCCTACTCTCAAATTCATACCATCATCCCATTCAAAATGTTGTGTTTCTACTTCAGCACGGGGACCATCATCAAAATCAAACTCTCTGTATTCTTCCTCCTCGTTATCAAACTTCGCTTTATCATCATCTACTCCATTGCCATCATCTACTCCATTGTCATGTGATACATCATCACCACCTTCTCCATTGTCACGTGTTACATCATCACAATCTTTTCCCTCGTCAACATCATCATCATCAGCTTCCAATATCACCGGGACATTCTGTTGATGTTGTTCTGCTGAACAGTTGTCTGTGTAAATAGCAAGTACACCATTATTTAATCCACCATTACCTAAACGCAACCCCCCGTAATTGATACCAACTGAACTTACCCTCTCAACTCTTGAAAATTCCTCTCCAACTTCAACACTTTTGATGACCTCTACATGAATAATACTTCTGCGTCCCTCTTTATCCAATGAGGTCACGAACACAGCTAGGTCATCGTCATTCGAAATATAGAATTGTTTCTGAGTTTGCACTTGTACCGGAATGTAACTCAGTTTCAGCTTACTCAAAGATTCGACAATCCCAACCTTCGTGCATATCTTATCCACTAAACCAGAATAAGTAATCTCCTCCAAAGTTGATGACTTAAACATTACACCATACATGGAAGCTGGTGCTGAAATCCATTTATCCTCCGAAGTTGAATAATATCCCCCGTAATCGAAAAATAAGTTCATAATCATTATCACCTGAAAAAATAACACATACACCATACTCAACTACATAAAAATTGGACTTTCCAGTTGTACGCAAGTGATACCATGTTTCCAGTTGTTTCCAGTTGTACGCAAGTGATACCAATTGTTACTCTCTCTCGTCCTCCTCTCACTCTGGGAAAATACTCTAATCTAACTCCCATTTACTGCGGTATAACATCTAAACCTACAATCCACTAAATACTCATCCGATTAGCAACCAATCGTCATTTCTATAGTCTACTACAATTTCCTATTCAATAATCGAATTTAATCTCCAATAGTGGTTATAGGGCAACGACTTTCCAAAATCAAAACGAGGTAATATAATCCAACGACAGGAATGTCAATTACCTCGAATAGCCTTCAAATGTCAGATCAGTACAGCAAAATGTCAAGAAGAACTCGACGATCTCTCGTTCTCTCTGTCGGGATCGCTGGGAGAGGAAGCTGGTCAAAAATGGTTTAAAGATGGTCCACAAAGCCTTGTTCCTGATTTCTTCCTGATTGGATAAATTTTTGGCGCCTAATATTCGTCTACACCCTCTTGATTGGTCAATTTTCTAGACGCTCGTTTCTGATTGGTTAGTTGTTCTTATATCTCATTGGCCGAAATTTGGTAAACCACTTTTCATTGGTTCATCAACGCTTAATTATCATTGGCCGAATTTCTATTTCTAATTTTCTTCTATAGAAAATTATAAAGACTACTTCAACATTTCCAAACTCATTAAAAGGTGAGGGATCGGCGGGGAGTACAAAAGAATGAAAAAGTATACGTCTGAATAAATAATTCCTCAAATGAGTATTTCAGATTATTCCTCTCATCATAGAGTAAGAGAGGAACATATGTAGCTAATTAATCTGGAATACACCCATTTAGTATATGCTACATTACGCAGGAAAGAGGAAACTATCAAATGGAATGCTGATAACGTACTAAAGAAAGAATATACACACTGAAATAGAATGCCAAGTGGTGTAAGACATGACAAAGAGTAGAGTCGGTGCTTTTCGATTTTCAACACTTTTATCTTCTCCTCCAAAGGAAGAGCGAAGAACTCTTTGCTCTGCTCGAAAGCCTTGTCCATAACATAGGAAAATCCACAATCCTAACATGCCTGAAACAAGAAACTCCCCCCCCCCCTCCCAAGCAAATCATTGTATTATTTAATTTATATATAAAAAAAAGACAAAACTAAATGAAGACAGACAGACCTGCTTGAGGGAAAGAGCTGATTGATGAAGATCAGAGTTTGTAAGATCAATGCAAGTAAGGGATGATTCTTGGATAATCGAAGCCTCCTGAGTTTTAGTCTCCACATCTCGCATTTCTTGGTTTGTCATATTTAAGACATATAGATTTTTTTTTCTTTGCTTTTCTCTTATATCCAATCATATATAGTGCGATAAAAACACGCAAAAATGTAAGGGATTAGTATGCTACCAACAATTAATAATAATTAAATGGACAGCTTTACAATTTTGTAATACTAAACAAAACTAATAATTTAAGTATACAGTAGGAACTAATGAAATTATGAGTCATACCACTAAATTTTAATTTAAAAACAAAAACAAAATTTTGTTGAGACTTAAGGAACTCATTTTGCTTTCTTTTTCTATCTCGTTTGTAGATTTCTCTCAATCACGTTTATTCTCTACAGCCATATCACTTTAGTGATGTGCCTTACAGAGTATGTTATCGAACACTTATTTCATAATTTTTTATTGTGATAAATTAATAATCCGGATATGAGCAACAAATAATATTTCGCAATACTATCGATAACAGGAAAAGTTTAGAATAAAATTTTTAATACTGAATTAGAAAAAAAAACATTAAGTTGTGAATGAATCACAATTCTGCTATTGTAGTTTGATCAAATACATACTTCACTTAGGTTTGTTTTTCGTATATGCTCAAGTCCACATGTGATTCTTCGTAACGTTGGGTGAGGTACGCTGAACATTTGATCGCTGGATATCTATTCATTAACACACAATTATTAACGTCTTTAAGATATTGTACTCGTCCAACTCATCAATATTATATAACATGTAAATATATAATAAAATTGGCTTACCTGGGAGGGTTGTTTTTGGACTGGCAGGTATGAAGACATTCTACTATACAGTCGTGGCTCGGTTCCACAAAGAATGGAATCTGAGATTAGAAACACAGAAAACACATTTTCAGCGTTATAATAATTTTCCAAACTCATTAACATGTTTAAATTAAACAACAACATTGACTTCTTCCACAATAACGGGACTGGAAAAAAGAGTCATATCGAAAAAGATGTCCATCCCGAAATTTCCATATGATTATATATTTAGAGCATCTCCATTAGTGTTATTCACTATGAGTCTTTTAGGGATAGTTTAGTATTTTTTTGGAAAGAGAAAAAAAATTAAAACATTAAAAGCAAAAAAAATCCAACCAATCACAGCCTTCCACTTGGCGTAAAAGACAATCTCTTTATCTCTTATATAAGGAGCGATCCATCAAAATTTTGAGAAAATACTTAAGTTTTTGTGCCAAAATCTGGTTAAAAAACTCTAATGGAGATGCTCTTATACCCATATTTGTTGACATGATTATATGTTTTGAGCACTTTAAAATTTTCCAATGAATACGTCCGTATGTGAACAAGTAGGTTATGAGACTACTTGAATTATCCTTTTCAGTAATTTAAAATTTGAAAATTATTCATAAATATTTTAAATAATACAAAATACTTAAAATCTTTTATAATTTTTATTACTATCCAACTCAAATTTTGATTTTTACTAAATTCGTCTAGTAATCATAGTTACAAAAGTTTCTCTATCCTGACAATCTGACATGCTACCCAAATTTCTAGTCATGTATTTCATTGAATCTTTAGATAATACTTTAATATTGAAATAACCTGTTCCCGATATCCTTACCAAAAAAAAAAAAAAAAGATATCCTTACCCAATATTACATGTTTGGTAGACGCAAATGAGTATTAGTAAGAGACTTACGGAATATCGGTCGTGACCATTCCCAAGTACCCGATGCAATGTGGACCTGTATATTCCAAAAAAAAAGGAAAAGAAAACGAGCATGTGAGAATTATGTCAGCTAGAAATTTTTTATCGTGAAACAAATCACAATGCAAAAGGATCATAATTAAAGACATATTAGAAAGACACTTAACAAAAAGAAATTACTTAAACATGCCGTTGCTCCAACGCTCCAGCAGGTCACCAAGATTCACGATATATGCTCTGCAGACAAAAACAAACCATGTAAAAACAAAATTTTAATATGGGAGTCAGACCAAGGGGAGTTTTACAAAAACACTTAGCAATTAAAATAAAGAATAAAATTAAAAAAATGAGAGAAAGAGTTCTAAAAATCCTTATTTCAGAACCACATTGTCTAGAGTATCTATATGTGTCTCTTTCACATTGATTAGTTTTTAATTTTAGAATTAAAATTTAATTATATAACTATATTATATTAAAATATTAATATTTATTTGTTTATATATCTAAAATGAATATTCTACCATTGGAAGTGTTCTTAGTGTACGTAGTGCTTTAACAATATCATAGACCCAAAAACAAAGATTCTCACTATACCCTTTAATCGATGGTACATATTCCCATTTCCTTGGCTTCATTTCCTTATCCTTGCAAATCTTCTCTCAAAATATTAGGATTTTCTCATGACTAAACTCCAGTCGCATCAAAATTTATATGACTTGCGAAAACTGTGTAACTGTGTATAGAATGTACCTGGAGCCCCATAACACCATCTGTTGCTAAGAGAGTCATCATTCCATAATCAGTATGTGCTCCACATGCATATATTCCTTTCGAGGGATCAGACTTCCCTAAAAGATAAAAGAGAGAATACAATTATTGGAGACGAATATATCATTGACATACAAAGTTTATGCAATCACGAAAATACATCATTGACATACAAATTATTGTTTCTATGTGACTTGAATAGTTGAATGTATATGGACGGCAATTAAACCCTTCTGAACGAGTCAGATGCGAGTTTTGGGGCATTACAAATATGGCTTTAAAGATTTTGTAATTATTAATTTACACAAGATGGATATTTGCGCCTTAATTTGATTTCTCTCTTAGGTTTTGATTCTTTTCTAGCTAGTTCTTTGTTCGCGAAACCTCAATACAAAGCTTACGCTATGAAGAAAATGCATCACCTTCATAGTGAAGTAAGCGCATAACTGCAATAGGATTTCCAAGCATCTCAGGTGTGTCAAAGTAATCCGCTTCCAAGTCGAGTGCCAATGCCAATATTCTCGCTATAACCTTACAAACTTTCCTGACCATGCAGAAAGTTTCATCATAATTCATAAGTATGCAGTTTAGAAAAACTTTCTCTATCAGGACTCCCTTGCATCACAAAATGCAAGAGACAAACACAGACATATTTTTTCATTGTCAATTGATTTTAAGATGGATACTCGTGAATTTTAACATGGTCGTATAAGAGCCAACAATTCTATTCAAACTTTTTTTTTAACCCAATTATATATGTAAGCAAGCTTTAAACCTTGAGAAGAAGCCCAAATTCCTTGCACACACCAAGTAAATAGCCTTAATACCCATTTATGCAAATCTGAAGATGAGAAATAGCTACGTAAAAAGATGGAAGAAATTAAACATGATGCTTACAATGCTTCTTGATGATATTTCTCCATGGTTGCCTTCCATCCGGGCAAAACATCTACCATAAACATCAAACTTTATTCAAAGGAAAACAAAACTACCAACAAAAAAAAAAGAACTCACTAGGATACAATCAAACTAACCAGGGTCAGGCCAAGTGTTTGGGCTATAGAATGGCTTATCCCCATGGGGATCATCTTTGGGACCTTCGATTCCAATGAAAAAAGACTCTTTGTAATCCCCTAAAGTCCATTAGTTGACAACAAGATTGAGATACCTCAAGGACACTTTATGATTAAGCAAGTGAAAAGATGTGTCAACTAACCGTGGACTTGATTCTCTGGATCCAAGATTTGATCCAGGACAGGTGAATAGCCACGATTCTTTTTGTTTCTCAAGACTTTCATTTTCTCCTCCAAAGGAAGAGCGAAGAATTTCTTGCTCTGCTCAAAAGCCTCGTCCTTCAACTCCTCGCTTAAACCGTGATTTACTACATAGAAAAATCCGCAATCCAGACATGCCTAGAACAAGAAATATCCAATAAAACGATGTTTTCTCACATAAGACACCATCATGATATTTAAGAAAAAAAATAGATGGAGACTCACCTGCTTGAGCAAAACAGCTGATTGATGAAGATCAGAGTTTGCGAGATCTATGCAAGTCAGGGAAGAAACTTTGATGGTCGAAGCCACTTCCGGAGTTTTGTTCTCCATCTCTCTCTCTCACTCTCTGTGTTGACTCTTTTTTTTTTTTTAAAGAAAAGGGAAGATACTGTACTGGCTTTATTTTCCCTTTGTTTGTTAATCCCATGATGCCAGAGGCTTTGTCACGCCACATATTTTAGTTTTTTTTTTAACCTTCAAATATTTTAGTTTTTAACTGTATTAATATTAAAATCTCGGGAATATGGCCAAAATAACCACATCGTTCAAAAAATATCAAATTAATACCTTTACTTTTTTTTTGTTTCATAAATTATTTTATTCAAGAACTACAGAAAAAATGATGATGATCCTAAAATACATTGGTTTCTTAATTTTTTTTTGATAATCCAAAAATTCTGGCAGAAGTTCATACATCCTTATATCCCAACCAATCTTTTAATATTTTTACCTGTCCCAACTAGCATTGATTTTATGACTTTTTAGATTATCATACAATGCATTTATAGTCGAGTTATCAAACTTTAGTAACAAAAAAAATCATTTTAATCTGTGACAGATTTGTATCAACAGTTTATATATTTGGATGAAACAAAAGTTTTTTGTTTCAATGAAAAGTAAAAAAAATGGGATCAAACAGTAGTTTATACACAATTGGATCCAAACAATAGTTATGCAACTATATGTTAAAGGGGAAGTGATCATTCATTTACCTTTAACTTAAAACACCGCATATCTATTGGTTAAAAATCGTAGAGTAGCCAAGACACGTCCGTAGCCGATTAGTCCACTCCCATGTGTTCCCTTGATGAACACAATTGAACATCGACGCCAACCAAAAAAAAAAAAATCCCCAGTTTCATCTTTTTGAACCTTGTATCAATATAAAGCTCAATTCAATTGCTTTCTCTCTCTCTCTCTCGCAACCTCTTCCTCTTCCTCTCTCTTAGATCACTGCAAGCTCCAGCTCGATTTCTTATCATCAGCCATGGCCTCGCAAGCTTGTCTTCTTCTTCAGAAACAGCTCAAAGGTACACAAAAACCAATCGAATCTTTTCCCTGTTCCCTCTACGAGCTGTGTGTTCTCTGTTACTGAATTCGATTTTTTTTTTTTTTTCAGATCTTTGTAAGCATCCGGTTGATGGATTCTCTGCTGGTTTGGTTGATGAGAAGAATATATTCGAATGGAGCGTTACCATTATCGGACCTCCTGATACTCTCTAGTACGCTTTTTTTTTTCTTCCTTTGATCCATTAGATTTATGATCTATAATGAGATCTAGTTATTGTACATGTTCTTGATTCGATGATCCATCTGGGTTTTTGATTGAGCTTGGAAATAGTGAATTTTGTATTTTGTTTCCTGCCGAAATTCGGATCGATTTTGTTGGAATGGCATTGGATTACTTATACCATGTTTCTGAGATTGATAATTTACATGAATTATCAGATTCATGTGATTGTAGAATCTCAAGTTTTTGTTAATTGTGTAGTCTTATGTAGAAATTTGAATTGATGTTGCTGGGATTACATTGGATTAGTGTTCTTGACTTCTTTTGGAGATGTTCTTGATTAAGCATAGTTAGATTAATAAACTACCTTAACAATTTGCAGTGAAGGAGGATTCTTTAATGCCATTATGTCCTTCCCACAAAACTACCCAAATAGCCCACCTACGGTGCGGTTTACTTCAGATATTTGGCACCCTAATGGTTAGTTCTCTCTCTCGAACATGCCTGTACTGAGGCAACTTTGCTTCTTTTGATTCCTTTGCTTGTGTTTGAATCTCTGAGGTTTTTTACAGTTTATCCTGATGGGCGTGTTTGCATATCGATTCTACATCCTCCTGGGGATGATCCAAGCGGGTATGAGCTTGCAAGCGAGCGCTGGACACCTGTTCACACAGTATGGTTACAAAAATGATGCATTTGTATTGTCTTGATAATCAATATCTTTGCAAGGATTGATGTCATATAAGATTTGATGAGTGTAAAAAATCAATGCTGATTTTCAGGTTGAGAGTATCATGTTGAGTATCATATCAATGCTCTCTGGTCCCAATGATGAATCTCCAGCAAACGTTGAAGCTGCTGTGAGTGTTCTTTCGAATTGTTTAGCTAATTATTTCATGAGATTCTCTTTTGTATGTATCAGAGCTTGCTCGTTAACCATTTTGGCTTGTTGGTTTGCTCTTACAGAAAGAATGGAGAGATAAGAGAGATGAGTTCAAGAAGAAAGTGAGCCGATGTGTCAGAAAGTCTCAAGAAATGCTGTGATCAAAGCCTTTTCTCACTTCAAACTCCAAACTTCTTCTGGAGATCAAAAAGTTTATTTGTCTTAAATCGAAAAACCCTTTGAGAAAAACTGTCCAAACACTACTTGTAATAAACCCGTCTTTCATCTTTTTATCGCGTTTCCAGAACGTGAAATGAAGTGTTTGGTCGAAAAAATGTGTTGTTATGGAGAAATTAACATTAAATTTATACACTATTCATCCTTTTCTCTTGTGAAGAAACTTTGTTTTGGTTTGTTGAAGCTCTTTTGTTCTTCATAGTTGCTTCATCGTTTTCATTCTTTGGGCGCTTCAACTCCACGCCGTTGTTACATTCCCGTGAAAAACTTCTTACAGTTCCGCTTTATGGAGGATAAACAAAAAACAGCGGGATGTTCGCTTTCTTACTGTGTCCTACGTATTTATAAGTCTCGTGACGTTGTCGCTCTTGGACCGTTGATTTACCATCAATCGCTATCAAGATAGTTGGGACAATACACGTGTCACATATCGTGTTGCTCTTGTTTCGTTTTCTATTTCGAAGTTACATTTCGTTCGTCTCTAAGGTTTGTGACATCGGAGAGAAGACGAACTCTCGTCTCGCTGCCGAGAATTTGATTCTCCGATCACTTCACAGATACGCTCTGAATTTCGTTCTCGATTCGTTAAGCCGATCTGTTGTCCGTCGATAAATTCGAGGTTAATGAAGAAACCACTGAGATTTTCTCCGATGTTATATGATTTTTGGTTATTTCTTAAAAGAATTTTCTGATTTCGTTCGATTCTATGCGCTCCTTATAGTTTTGTTTTTGGAGGATTTGAGCTTATCATAATGTTGAATCTCCATATTTTCTGCGTCAAATTCGTGATTTGCGAAAGTTTTAATGCGAATCTGTTTGTAGATTGGTGTTGTTCGACATGGAATTGGCGTGATCTCGTTAGAGTTCCGTGGCGTATTTGCTCATCCTAAGTTGCTAGCATTGTTTTAATGGGAGACCATTCTGCTAGAAGTAGAAGCTCTGTGATGGCAACTGTTTCTTCTGGGAGAGAGTTTCCTAAGAGAAGCTTAATAGCTGCTATTCCAAGAGCTGTTCAGCAGACGATCTATAAGAATGTTTCTTTGGCAAGTAATGGTAGCGTTGGCAGTGGCACAGTGCATACTGCAGCCGTGTTTCTGCTGAAAATCGCGGTTTTAGAAGTCGTTCGGAGAATTTCAAGGGCCAAATGTCCTCTTTTGTGGAACAGTCTTCAGGCTTTGCAGTGCCTTTGTTATCCTCCTCTTAAGTGGATTCAGAGATGGGCTCCGTTCAAGGAGTTGATCAAGGCAATGCAGGTTTGCTGCTCTCTCTCCATGGCAGTATGGCACTATGCCCCTTTTTTGTTGTTGATTTTTTTTTTTTTTTACCAGCTGTTGATGAATGCAACTTTAGAATTGCATAACAATCGTCGCATGGCTTTGGTGTAGAATTTGCACAACCTAAGATACTAAGATGAATGAAAATGAAACAGCAATAAGAAGTTTAAAACAAATGATCCTCTAGGCTCCAAGTCTTTGGGATTTTTTCACCTCTCTCAACTTTAGCATGTAAGAGATGGAGATTGTATGTACGCTTTAACTACATGTCAGTTGTAATATATTTATGTGGACGAATATTTATTGTGCTCTCTTCTGTGCTTTAAAGGTCATTCATTTCGTCCTTCTCACATTTGAACGAATTAGAATTATCTTTGTAAGTTGTGCTTTGGTGGCAACAAATGTATTGCTGTTTGATATCCTTCACTAGTGGTTCTGTGATCTTGTACTCATAAGTTTATGTATAAAACCAGATTGTGCAGGGGCCCTTCGTTGTGCTTATTTGATATTTCTTTCACCATAATGATCTGCCGTGAGTCTCAATTACTGTGTCTAATCTTTATGCAGATGCTGTCTCGGCCATTATTGGTCCTCACGATTGCAGAAGCTTTCACAGAGTTAAAGCAAGAAGCCCCAGGTGGTACTGGCTCTAATGCATCTTCAGAATCACATTCTGAGCCACAGACGTCTCAGCCTCCATCAGACATAAGGTACGTGATGTCAAAGTCTTACCTGTAATATTGTATTATAATTAATTTGAGACCGTACAAGTTTAATATGAAGCACTTTGAAGTTTTGCAAATCCCTTAAAACTATTAAACCTGCATACTCTTATTTAGCATACTCTTATTTTAAGTATTATCTAGATATTTATATGTTAAGTTCTCTGTTAATTCAGAATTGAAGATGAGGCTCCAAATCCTGTAGCTTCACAAGACTGGCTTAAACAACTCTACGAAGAACTGGAAAAGCAGAAACTTAGCTTGCCAGAGAGGTACTTTAAAGTTTTAGTGTTGTACTTCTTGTATTTTCACGTTAAATTTTCTGCGTTAGATCATAACCATCCAGTCTTATTCTAATGTAGACTCAACGAAGACGAGCTTCATAGGTTTTATAGAGTGTCAAACGGAGACTTCACATCCTTACTATCTTCAATTAAAAAGACGATCCATTGGAGGGAGACGTACAGAATCCTATCTGAAGAAGAACTTGAGACATGGTCAACCTTAGTCTTTTGGCATGGATTTGACAGGAACCAACGACCTTGTCTCATTGTCCGCTTGGGGCTTGCTTTTCTAAAGTTGCCATCTCATGAAAGACCTCGTTTCGCTCAGGCAATCAGTACGTTCGTATTGGCTCTATGTCATTTCCCGATATAGTATTTCCTAAGGTGTTCTTCTAATCAAATGTCCTTGTTTCAGTTTCTCAGGTAGAGCACGGCGTTTTGCATCTTCTAAACCCTGAGAATTCAGAACTTACAGTATTAGTGGATTGTGAAGGCTTGTCTCCTCTGAGGATTCCCATGCAGATGATGAGATCTTGTTCTTCCATTCTTCAAGATCATTTCCCTAACCGTCTCGGCTGCCTATTCATCATTCGTCTCCCTCCTGTTGTCCGAGTCATTTCCCAGACTTTTATCCAAGTAAAGAATCTACATGAGCTTACTTTAAATTTTCGGTTTTCTTTGCCTTTGTTATTGGGTCTATGATTGTTGTGTCTAAACTTATCTTCCTCTCTCATAGATTCTCAGACCAACAACACGCAAGAAGCTGAGAATTGAAGGTGAAACGTTCCAGCGAGTCCTTTCTGAATATCTCCAGATGCTTCCTTCATACCTTGGCGGTGACTGCAACTGCAAAAGATGCTCAAATCTCAGCGAACAGGATTCACCACAACCACTAACACAAACAAGAAGCAAGAGAAGAAGCTCAATGGAGGCAGATAAGCTAGACGTCAGCCGCTGGAGTTACGATGTCCAGACACCTGATTTAGTCTATGAGGACGACCCGAGCCTGAACGTATGTAACCAAGTGCTGCGAACAGCAGTAGTGTTCGTGCTCATGCTTTGGCTCTTCGGTGCACTACTAGCTGGTTTTGCCGATCCTGAGAGCAGACCATTTTAAGCTTTCCATAAGGTAGCAAACCAACCATAACCAGTTTTAGGCTTATACGTATGTCTTCTGTGTATATAGTATATGTGTGGTATGCGTCGATATGTATAGTCAATAGTGAATAAATCAGTCTCTCATTTAGAGTCTTCGTTGCGAACGAGGAGGGGAATCAATCGGTTCGACTTAGTTTTGGGTCTTGGTTTATGGTTGATGGTTGTGGTTCAGTACATTGTACGTTGGGAGAAAGTAAGTACGGTTTTAGTATTGTGTTGAGACTTTGGTCACCCTCTGGGCTCTGCAGTAAAATTTGTGAACAAGATTTGTTGCCATTGTTGGTGATATTTTGTTAAAGCCAGATTTGTTTAAGAATGAGAAATGTGTATCTAAAAAAAAACTTTATAACGATAAATATTTAAAACTAACGAAAATGTATAGTCACTGAGTCTACATCCTTGGATAAAATATTTAGTAGGTAGCATTTTCAAAAGAAATCTAGAATATTTTATTTCAGAGTTTTACTTTCTGAACTAAGTAAATCATATTTGTGTTAGCACTGTTAATTGAGACAAAAAATGTCGATGACACTGTCCAGCAGATTTTTGTTTTCTGTCCACTTGCATAGTATTCGAGAAGACTAAAATGAGATTCACATCATTTGGAACAAAAAGCCAATAGATAAGAGTTAGAACAAAAAATGGGGCTCTTTGGTTATTGGTGGAAATAACGGAACTTGAGCGAGAGCATCTGATAATATCCAAATTGGCAAAAAAATTGTTCATTTGAATTGCTTTGGTTACACGGTAATACTCTAACAAATGAATTAAAAACTTTGCTGTAGATTTCAGCATCTGCCTACTTTTAATCACAACTTATAAAATTCTTGGAAGCTTGTAATTACACCTTGAATCCGCATATTAACAATGATCCTCTGGATGCATGGACTTACTAGTCAAAGGCAAAATTAGATTGATATTTCATTTCATAAAATATCATAGGTCAAACGGAGAAAAAAAACGCATGGAAAACAAACTTCAAAGCTTCAATGTAAACGCTAGGTTAGACAAACAGAATTTAGTCAACATGTTATGGTACTACAATTGTACCAAAAAGATAACACAAACTTCATCTTCATATCCACACTCATCTATTATATATAGTCCAAATTTCGCAACTACAAAAACCAAATAAATATGAAATCAAAATTCACCTCAACCACCGTAAGCTTTTTCCTCATATTTTGTATCTTTCTATTGATCAACTTCGTTAGAGCCAAAAACAGTTATAACCCTAATACATCATCCGCTCAATGTCCCCCACCACCACCTTGTATTTGTAATCCAACACCATCGTTGCTGCCACCACCCAATAAGCAAGCACCACCATCATCATCCAGTGCCCAACCATTGCCTCTACCAGCGATCACACCACCCCCTCCATCAGCAATCACACTTTCACCTCCTCCAATAACCACACCACCAATATCACCTTCTTCTGGTGACATATGCTATAAGAATGATACCGAATTACGGATATGTGCTAATATAGTAACAGCCGCAGACGGTCTTTTAACCACTGGAAGGGCGGAGCCATGTTGTTTCATTATCCATAATCTCTCTGATGTTGATGCAGTTACTTGTCTATGCAAATCTGTTGGAGCAAAACCATCTTCACTCTCTCCTAATTTTAATATTTTCTTCAAAGTATGTGGTCATAGAATTCCACAAAGTTTTAGCTGTCCCAGACTATCCCCAATCATCCCACCACCACTGTTGAATCTTCAATCACCGCCTCCTCCACAGACCGCACCACTCCCTCCACCATCAACAACACTTTTGCCTCCTCCAATAACCACACCATTACTATCACCTTCTTCTGGTGGCATATGCTATAAGAATAATACAGAGTTACGGATATGTGCCAATATAGTAGCAGCCGCAGATGGTCTTTTAACCACTGGAAGGGCGGAACTGTGTTGTTCTATCGTCCGGGATTTCTCTGATGTTGATGCAGTTACTTGTCTATGTAAATCTGTTGGAGCAAGACCATCCTCACTCTCTCCTAATTTTAACATTTTCTTCAGGATATGTGGTCGTAGAATTCCACAAGGTTTTAGCTGTCCCGGACTATCCCCAACTATCCCGCCACCACTGTTGAATCTTCGATCACCGCCTCCTCCACAGACCACACCACCCCCTTCACCATCAATAATACTTTTTCCTCCTCCACTGACCACACCACCAATATCACCTTCTTCTGGTGGCATATGCTATAAGAATGATACAGAGTTACAGACATGTGCCAAATTGTAGCAGCTGCAGACGGTCTTTTAACCACTGGAAGGGCGGAACCATGTTGTTCCATCGTCCGTAATCTCTCTGATGTTGATGCAGTTACATGTTTATGCAAATCTGTTGGAGCAAGACCATCCTCACTCTCTCCTAATTTTAATATTTTCTTCAAGGTATGTGGTCGTATAATTCCACAAGGTTTTAGCTGTCCCAGACTATCCCCAATTATCCCACCACCACTGTTGAATCTTCAATCACCGCCTCCTCCACAGATCGCACCACCCCCTCCACCATCAACAACACTTTTGCCTCCTCCACTAACCACACCATCACTATCACCTTCTTCTGGTGGCATATGCTATAAAAATGATACAGAGTTACGGACATGTGCCAATATAGTAGCAGCTGCGGACGGTCTTCTAACCACTGGAAGGGCGGAACCGTGTTGTTCCATCGTCCGGGATCTCTCTGATGTTGATGCAGTTTACTTGTCTATGCAAATCTGTTGGAGCAAGACCATCCTCACTCTCTCCCTAATTTTAATATTTTCTTCAAGGTATGTGGTCGCAGAATTCCACAAGGTTTTAGCTGTCCCGGACTATCCCCAACTATCCCACCACCACCGTTGAATCCTTGATCATCACCTCCTCCACAGACTGCAACACTCACTCCACAAGCAACGACACTTTTGCCTCCTCCACTAATAACACCACTACTATCACCTTCTTTTGGTGGTATATATATATATACTCTAAGAATAAAACAAAGTTGCAGACATGTGCCAATGTAGTAGTAGTCACGAAAAGTCTATATATTAACCGCTGAAAGGGCGGAGCTATGTTGTTCAATTGTCTATAGATTCTCTCATGTTCACTACAAGAAAACAATCGTTTTCCAACGGTCCATTACGGCGGTTTTCAAATCGCCGCAAGCTTACAACGATTTTACGACGATCTTACGTCTAATTTTAAAATCGTCGTAACACCGTCGTATAAAAAAATCGTCGTAAACTCGACGTACAACGACGAATTACGACGATTATACATCGATAACGAGAGATTTGCTAGTAAATGTAAAATCGTCGCAAATTCGATGTAAAATTACAAAGAATATACGACGACTGCATTTCGATGTACATATTACGACGATTTTACGTCAAAAAAGAAGTTAGGTGGAAAACATTTAAAACATGTTTACCTAACAATTGCAGGGGAAATATTTTATCGCATAATCGTCGTAAACTCGTCGTAATATTATTTTTGAATGTAAATTCATCGTAAAATGTCGTCGTAAAAGCGTTGTATAGCCCGAAATTTTCCTATAAATAGATCTTCATTCCTTCTTTCAATCAGAACACATCATCATTCAAACATAAGAGCATCTTCATCTTTGAGACCCATTGTAGGTCTCTTAAATTTTAGTATAGTGTTGTAAATCCTTATATATTGGGTTGTCCATTGCTGGAAACCCGAATTAAGAGTTATATTACTTTGAAAAAAAGAAGTAATAATGTTATAAGGTTAATTTACTCCATTCACGTGGCTAGACGTGACACAATTGTCTAATCAATAAAAAGAGATAGTATTTTGAGTTTATTTTCAAGATGTCTATATACGAGCTAAGAAGTTGGATGTATATGCGTAAAGATTCAGTTGGGGCGTTGACGGAAGAGTTCAAGAACGGGTTAGAAAGATTTATGTTTCAGGCTACAAATATGGAGAGAACGAAAGATAGTGGGAAGATGTTTTGTCCTTGTTTGAAATGCAAGAATACGAGGTATACACTAACCAAAACCGTGTGGACGCATTTATTAAATAGAGGGTTTATGCCGCAATATTTTGTTTGGTATCTACATGGAGAATGATATGGCAGTAATACTTATGGGAATGCTGGTAGTAGTAGTAATTATCAAATTCATGTTGATATTGATGAATCGAATTATGGTCATCAGCCTAATCAGTATCAATATGATCAAAGTGTAGATCATGATAGGATGCACGAAATGGTGACTGATGCATTTCATGAAACGCATACTGGTAATGCTGTTGAGGAACCTAATGTAGATGCCAAACGATTTTATGATTTGTTAGACAATGCTAATCAACCAATCTACGAAGGATGTAGAGAAGGCTTGTCTAAATTATCGTTGGCAGCTAGGATGATGTCAATTAAAACAGATCATAACCTGGCTGAGGTTTGCATGGATGATTGGGCTGATCTTCTGAAGGAGTATCTACCGGAGGATAACTTGGCAGCGGGAACATACTATGAAATTCAGAAGTTGATTTTTAGTCTTGGTCTACCTTCTGAGATGATAGATGTATGTGCTGACAACTGTATGATTTTTTGGAAAGATGATAATCAGCTGGAGGAATGTCGATTTTGCCAAAAACCAAGATACATGCCGCAAACTGGTGGGCGTAAAAGGATACCGTACCAACGTATGTGGTATCTCCCTATAACTGATAGGTTAAAACGGCTTTATCAATCTGAAAAGACAGCTGCATCAATGAGATGGCATGCAGAACATACACAAGTAGATGGAGAAGTTGTTCATCCATCAGATGCAAAGGCATGGAAACACTTCAATATGGTATACCCAGATTTTGCTAAGTTCAAACGGAATGTCTATCTTGGTCTGTGCACTGATGGTTTTAGTCCATTTGGTATGTCTGGTAGACAATATTCATTATGGCCAGCAATCCTAACTCCTTATAACCTTCCTCCAGATTTGTGCATGCAAAGGGAATTTCTTTTCTTAAGTATTTTGGTTCCAGGTCCAAATCATCCGAAGCGAGCTGTCGATGTATTTCTGCAGCCACTCATACATGAGTTGAATCAGTTATGGTATACTGTCGTTCGTACATATGACTGTTCTATGAGGAAAAATTTTACTATGCGGGTTGTGCTTATGTGGACAATAAGCGATTTCCCCGCTTATGGTATGCTATCAGGATGGACTACACATGGGAGGCAATCTTGTCCTTATTGTCTTCATCGAACTGATGCGTTTCAGCTAAAACATGGTAGAAAAACTTGTTGGTTTGATTGTCACCGGAGGTTTTTACCAGATAACCATCCATATCGGAGGAACAAGAGGTTATTTATGAAGAACAAAAGTGTACATGTCCCTCCACCCGTTAATTTAAGAGGAGCTGATATACAGGCGCAAATCGATCATTGGAGGGCAGAGGAAACAGTAACGCGTGGGGGAAACTGGCACACTCCTGCAAATATGCCTGAAGGTTATGGAGTTCATCATAATTGGCACAGAAAATTATCTTTTGGCAACTACCTTATTGGAAAGATCATCTGCTCAGACACAATCTTGATGTCATGCACATTGAAAAAAACTTTTTTGATAACATCATGCATACAGTTATGAACGTAGCGGGAAGAACAAAAGACAATGGTAAGTCAAGATTGGACTTGCCTGATTTATGCAATAGAAGTGAGTTGCATCTACTGAGAAATGGAAAAGCACCAGTTCCTGTATTTCGGTTGAGTGTAGATCAAAAGTCAGCATTGTTCAGATGGGTTTCTTCTGACGTTAAATTTCCTGATGGGTATGCCTCTAATCTTTCCAAATCTGTTGAGAAGAGGGTAAAGTTTGCTGGGATGAAAAGCTATGACTGCCATGTGTTTATGCAACGATTATTTCCATTTGCATTTGCTGAACTCTTGCCCAAAAATGTCCATGAAGCTATTAGAGGCATTGGTGCTTTTTTTTGGGATCTTAGTACACAAACATTATCAGTTGATGTAATATCACAACTGGCATTGAATATTCCAATCTTGTTGTGCAATTTGGAAAAGATCTTCCCACCATCATTTTTTGATGTTATGGAACATCTTCCTGTTCATCTCCCACACGAAGCAGAGCTCGGTGGACCCGTTCAGTACAAGTGGATGTATCCGTTCGAGCGTTTCATGAAGCATCTTAAAGGTAAAGCCAAAAACCTAGCTAAAGTGGAAGGCTCAATTGTGGCGGGAAGTTTGACGCAAGAGACTTCACACTTCACTTCATACTATTTTGCACCGAAAGTACGAACACGCAAAAGAGCTACTCGTCGATATGATGATGGAGGAGTTGGCCATACATATGCCGTTGAAGGTGTACCTGACATATTCTCGCCGATCGGACGTCTTAGTGGAAAACTAAAAGAAGTTTGGTGGTCCAATGAAAAAGATTATCACAGTGCACATACGTATATCCTGTTAAATTGTGAAGAATTGTCATCGTATGAAAGGTACTTTTTAATTAATAATATCTTTACATAAGTTGTCAGTATTAATAACTATTTGTTGTTTTTCTCAGCACATTTGTTGATGAGGTTAAAGAATGCATATCTAGGGTTTGTGAAACTGAAATCAATGATCGTAAAGATCAACACTATGCCCAGTGGTTAAAAGGACAAGTACGTATAAAATTTTAATTAAAAGACTACTTTAATTTTGCTATATATCCAAATCAAGAAATTAAAGCGGAATTTTTTTCTTATTAGGTGGACCCTAATGATCCGGATGAATTTCCAACATGGTTCCATGAGTTACTACTAGGTCCGATGGCAAAAATAACTACAGCCTCCATGTATTTCACTCGGGGCTATGTTTTTCACACATACCGTCATGGTGCAAAGCGGGCGACAACTAACTATGGAGTTTGTGTGAGGGGTGAAATAGATTTTTATGGAGTTCTGCAAGAAATAATTGAAGTAGAGTATCCTGGATTGTTAAGGCTGAAAACTGTTCTCTTCAAATTTGATTGGTTTGATCCAACTGTTGGAAGAGGGGTACGTCTAAACAAGTTTGGAGTTGTTGACGTGAACAAATCACGGCGGTACAACAGGTTTGAGCCATTTATATTAGCTTCTCAAGCAGAACAGGTAACGTTTATGCCATACCCTCGAGTTCGATCAACAGGAATTTCATGGTTAGCTGTAGTTAAAGTGGCTCTGAGGGGCAAGATTGTAGGGGTTGAGGATGTTCCACTTCAACAGGACACTTGCGTAGATCTGTCTGAACCAGATGTTGATGAGGAGATTTTCTTAATAGACCCTCGGAACAGGCAAGTTGAAGATCTTCCCGATGATACAGAAGAAGAAGGTGATGATGAGTTTGCTGAAACCAATGATGACGATTTGGCGGAAGAAGACGGTGATGGTGATGAAGTAATAGAGGAAGATGAATCTGATTGAGTTTCATGCATTGTATTTAGTGAATGTTTGTTATTATGTAATTTGTAACTTTGTTTGTTTGAATTTTTTAAAAACCCTAAAATTCGATTTTACGACAGTTTTACGACGGTTTTTCTAAACCCTGAACCCTAAGTCTAGGTTTTAAGCCCAGAATGAATAGGGTTTCAACATTACGACGTCTTTACGACGAACCATCGTAGTATCGTCGTAAAGTTACGATGGTTTTACGACGAGTACACTATTTCGTCGTAAAATCGTCGTAATGTTGAAATCCAAGAATTTGAATCTTTTATATCTTATTGGTTGTAAGGTATTTCACAAATGTTTTTGATTGGTTATCTTATTTTATATAAAATGCTATCAATCTGAGCAAAATTAAAAATTTGAAAAAAAACATACATATTTACATGTTCTTATATGTTTTCGTAAATGCATGAGTAAAAGATTATACATTAGATTACGGAATTTCAATATTTACTATCTCATGTCATAAATCCATCAGACATGCAAAGTTGTAAACCTTTTGTTATATGTTAGGATACAATAACCTTCGCATTGTTCTTTATGCAATATCCCTTTTTTAAGATTTAGGGTTTAATTACTTTTTTAAAAAACATCGTAAAATCGTCGTAATATAATTGTAACTTTACGACGGTTTTACGACTAAGTTCTCTGAAACCGTCGTGGAACCTTCGTAACGTTTGCACCGGAAAGGCTCTTGATCCGAGGTACGAGATTATAAATGTTTAGCCGTTACGACGGGTTTACGACGGTTTATGGTATAATCGTCGTAAAACCGTCGTAACGGTCAAACGCTCTTATCATGACACGTGTCATGTCATGCAGTGGACCGACTGAAATACAACCAAATCGTCGTAAAATCGTCGTAAAGTTACGACGATTTTACGACGATCACAAAATCTATATAAGGGACGCGAGTTTTCCCCATTTCGTCGCTCATTCCTCTCTTCTCCCTTCTCTCTCTAATAAACTTTCTCTCTCTACCTCCCTAATCTCCTAAACCTCTTCCAAGCCAAATACTTGTAAGTTTTTCGTTTTAAAATAATTTTATTACATATTCTTTTAGATTTAGGTTCGGAATTTAGATTTAGGTTCAGAATTTAGATTTAGGTTTCGGAATTTAGATAGGCTCGGATTTTGTAAATTTAAATAACTATTTGAAAAATTAGTAACAATTTTTTTTAAATTTTGTAGATTTTGTTGATATGGCTCCTCGGGCTAAGAGATTTCACTACCGACAGCTAGTCGATTCTGATGGTACGGCCCCGTCTACCTCGGCGACCGGATCAGCCATCCCGGAGTCCTCGGGAACACAACGGACGGTTTCCCAACCGGTCGTTGTACCGCAGCCGGCACCGCCTCCACCACCACCAGCCGAACCAGCGGCTCCTGCACCGGCCGATCCTGAAGCTGATCCGATCCCGCCTGTACCGTATGCCCAGTTTACAGTACAGGATCTTCTGGTATAGCCGGGTCGTGAGACCATGACAAACTCGACCCGGATCGAGCCCCGAGAACATTTTGGTACGTAAATTTTTTCCTACAATATTTTTAAATTAATTAATATTTATTCTTATATATTTGAAATTAATTTACTTTTCTCTTTCCATTTGACTAGGTTTACGACCGACAATGCAGTCGGTCGTAACGTTGCGGATATCATCAAGGGGTTTTTCGTACAACCCCATACCAGCTGGAAGAAGCTGGATCAGGCTACACTTGACACTTGGTTCAAGTGTTTTGCGGTAAGTAATTTACAATTTCGTTTAATTTTAATTTTTAATTTTAACTTTTTACAATAATTACTAACTTTTTTTTCCTAGCAAAACTGGCATTGGGAAACATCCGCACACGGACGTGTGGAGACGGCCTTCAAGGAGAAGGTCAAATTACGCCTCAACAACACCGTTTTCGACTGGAAACGGAAGTGGGAGGTTGACGGCGACAAGGCCAAGCCGACGCCTATGGCCAATTCCGTCTGACGGGGCCTTGTCCAGTACTGGTTGGATCCGCACAACCAGACTACGACCGCCAAGTGTTCCGGATCTAGGTAAGTAGTTAATTCCTTTAATATTTATATTATTTGTTTTTATTAATTCTTATAATATATTCTAATGAAAATATTTTTCTGGAACGCTACTGACGATGCGGGAAATCGGAAGAACGTTCCGCACACTTCCGGCCAGATTCCTTTTGCCGGAAGACGGCTTATGATGGTAAGTAAATTAAAATTACTGATTTTTTTGTTTTCAAATAATTAACCCTTATTTGTCGATCCTAATTTTTTCATTTTGATTTTGTAGGTCGAAGATAACGGAGGAGAACTTCCTCCGATGACAAAGGTTTTCGCCGAGACGCATAAGAAGCGGATTGGCGAATTCACGGATCCTCGGGCGGAGGAGATCTACAACGCCGCCTGTGCGGCGATCGAGGAGCGAGACGCAGCTGACTCAGCAGGCGCGTCAAACGTCTCCCGGAGGTAGCTCGGTCCAATTGACTCCGGCGCTGACGGTGGCGGAGATGGACCATATTTTCGAAGAGGTAAATTTGATTACTATATTTAATTAATGTAACTTTAGTTTTTAATTGAATTTCTAACCATAATGTTTTTAAATATTTTTAGGTTGCCCCAAAGAAAAAGGGGCGGATATTAGGGATGGAGTACATCCGTGATACCCCGAGAGCTACAGCGACTGGTCACGTCCGGGTCCCGGATCCGGTTATCCGTCAGGAGATCGATTAGATGCGGACCCGTTACGAGACGAGGATCGACCAGCTCTACGGTCTCTTCGAGATCATGGGAGCCAACAACCCGGTGCTCATGGCGCAGTTGGACAAGCTGCGGGCTGATGGGATTGTTGGATCGTCTGCCGCCGGGTCATCCACTAGGACGCAACCGCCGGTGCAGACGGACGAGGAGATGTTCCGATCTCTCGGGGTTGAGCCTCCTAGAGCCGGAGATCAGACGCCGGCGGAAGCATCAAACCGAATACCCGGCAAGGAACACGTCTAGGACGATGGGGAGCAGGCCGGTGACAGGATCGACGATATAGATATAGATTTAGATTTAGAGCTGTAGGGTTTTTTTGTAAATTACAATTAATTTTAATTTGAAATTTTAATTTGAAATTTTAATAAATTTAAAATTGTAAATTATTTTTTTTAATTTAAATTTTAGTTCGAATTATTTTTTTTTTAATTTTCAATTATATTAAACGTCGTCTAATCGTCGTAATATCTTTATTTAAAACCATCGTACATTCGTCGTAAATATTACGACAAATTTACGACCAAAATATACGACCACAAATACGACGATTATACGTCCGTGCTTTACGACGATTTTACGACGAAATGATTAAATACTTTACGATTGATTTACGACGATTTTTGCGTCGTATATTTTACAACGATCTTACGTCGACCATTAACGACCACTTAACGACGGTCCAGGCGAAGACCAAGTCGACGCAATTCGATGTAAAATCGTCGTAAACTGTACGACGTATTTACGACGATTTTGTTTCCCTCGATGTTACGACGAAACGAAACCGTCGTATATTATACGACGATTTTACGACGATTTGTCTATTACGACGATGACTTTACGACGATTTCGTAATCGTCGATAGTTCGTCGTAATAGCTCTATTACGACGAAATAACGACTATTTTGACCATCGTAAAATGATGTTTTTCTTGTAGTGGTTGATGCAGTTACTTGTCTACACAATACGCAAATCTGTTGGAGCAGAACCTTCCTCTCTCACTCTCTCGTAATTTTAACTTTGAAAGTCATAGAATTCCATAAAGTTTTAGCTCTCCATAATACTTTTTTTTGGATCACTAAACATTTATCACATTTCAGTTTTATCTGCAATTATTTCTTTGTAAGCTTTTTTTTTTAATCTCTACTACATTAATACACTACCAAAGCAAATTTATATTGTGTCTTAATTTTTGATTTTTTACTATACTAGGCCATCTGAGTAAACTCTACATCTGTGTCTGGCTTAGGATTCATACCAGACTGTAATTTAACATCATATAGATAAACATTTATCGTTCAAAGAAGAATAAATAAATTATCTAATCATTGCCAAACATATTCTTCTTTGGTGCGTTATCACACTACACTAACTGCATACCAATCAATCGAAAAAAAAAATCATTGTATTTGTTTTTATCTCACATTGTTCTTTCAATATTACGTAAAGCCTTGGTTGTGAAGAGCACGAAGAGAACATATACCTAAAGCAATATCATTCGTAGTTAATTAGCAAAACAAAAAATGTATACATCATCTTGGACAAGTACTACTCCATTTCCCTAGCATACAATGTATATATCAACAATTTATAATTACAAATAAGTTGAACTTAGAACTTACAGATACTCGCCATCTGTTTGACATCTCATAATATTTTCTTCACAAGTTGTTTGAAAGTTTCCTACTATGTACTCAGTTTGGAAGTAGCAGAACTTGCAACTTCACTATTTCGAATGTAGATATTTTTGCATGTTATTCATCAAATACACCAAACGATATGAGCTCAACTCAGTTCTCTCTCAAATTCTTAAAAATAAAAATATCTTGTTGAATTGAAAACACGTATCTCACCATATAGTTATAGATAGGTCAATTAGTCAAATAAATATATTAATTCAAGTTTACACAATTGATTGAATACCTCAAGAAATGTACTATTAATTAAGGTCAATAAGTCAAATAAAAATATTTTTAACTAGTTTTGGGATATTAAATTAATTAAAATCATGCATAATTTAAGTCAAATTATTATTAATTATGATCAGGGAAAAATCAATTAAGAAATATGTTTTTAATATATGTGAAATGTTTAACATATTGATACGTATATTTAAAGTGAAAAATTAGTTAATAACTCCAATTGGAATAAGAAATAGCCAAAAAAATGTCGTACTTAACGAAATGCGACATCAGATCTGCGTTTGGTCAAACGTTTTCGTAATTTAGTAGGGAACCACAAAATTAATTTCGATTTAATTATCAATCCGCTTTTCGTGTTTTTGAAGTCTATACAGAAAAATAAAAAATCTGCTAAAAAAAATAACCTTAATTCCCAAATATATTCAAAAATTTTGCAAGAGGAAGTTCCGACACTTGGGACTTGGGAGTATAAGTAATACGATCTCTCCCACTCTTCAGATCACACCAATTTTGGTTTTTTAGGGTTCTCTGTTTCATCTGATTTCGGAATCGATCTCGTAAATTCCTCTCGACCTTCTCTCTCTCTCTAATCGCAATCTTAACTTCTCGGCTTTTCTGATTCGTTTTTTTTTTTGGTGCTCGAATTGCGATCTCAGAAAAATGGCGACAAGTGACAAACAATCTAGCCCAAAGCCTCCACCTTCGCCTTCACCTCTCCGCAATTCCAAGTTTTGTCAGGTGAATTTCACATTTTTTTTTTGGTGGAAATTTTGGGTTTTTGTTTCGATTCTGGCGATACCCATCAATTTGTGACCGACCCTTATTAATTTCATGAGTTGGATCTCGTCTTCCCCATTTGAAATCTACCATTACCTAGAAAAAGTTTCCCACCCATGGAATCACGTGTACGTTAGCTTGATTAGACGGTGAATCTCGTGTTCTGATCCTTGTTTGTTATGTCGGATCATTTGTGGTCTTGGTCCTATTTAGTTTGGTGAAATTGATCGTTTTGTTTCGTCCGGATTTTGTAATTAAGAAAGTCTGTATTTACTTTATCTCGTTGGCATTGTATAGAATCAAACGGATTTCTAGGTTAAGGGATCTTTTAATTGGTCACATGGGTAATTGAGATTGAATACTGGATATTCTACTCAGATCTGACCTGTGAGCAGAATAGTCCGTGAGCAGTCTTGGCCTATTTCTTCGCTACATTGTGCCCTGTGAGAGAGCTTAGTTAAGTTTAACTGAACTATAATCTTTAGGTTCGTGTTGTACTTTCTTCTGCTGATCTTGTATGTTCTGTGCGTTCCTCATCTTCTTGACTATGTGTGTAGTAAAGTTTTTTGATAGCCCCTTGTGAGGAATTCTCAAGAACATGTGTAATGAGCTTGTTTTCTCACTTGTACAGTCCAATATGAGGATCTTGATCTCAGGAGGAGCCGGATTCATTGGCTCTCACCTTGTCGATAAGCTGATGGAAAACGAAAAGAATGAGGTTTGGATTGAAATGCTTTAGTCCTTGAACAGTTTATTCGTCATTTTGATCAGTTGCTCATGGTTTATATAATTTTCTACCAGGTGATTGTTGCTGATAACTATTTTACCGGTTCCAAAGACAACCTTAAGAAATGGATTGGTCATCCGAGATTTGAGCTTATCCGTCATGGTATGGTCTTGAAACTCTCTAGCTTGTTGCTGCTATTGAGAACAGTATATAGCCTCCTTGTTTGATTTTTTTCTAGCTCCCTCTTTCCTTATCTCAAGAAGATCAACATTGTCCTCATTTCTATTTGGTTTTGGCATTAACAGATGTCACGGAGCCACTTTTGATCGAGGTTGATCAGATTTACCATCTTGCATGTCCTGCTTCTCCCATCTTCTACAAGTACAACCCCGTGAAGACGATCAAGACCAATGTGATCGGCACACTGAACATGCTAGGTCTTGCCAAGCGTGTTGGAGCTAGGTTTGCAAAACGTTCCCTTCTTTCTTCCTTACTTCTGTTCACCCTTCGCCTTTGTGACTAACTCTTATTCCAAACAGGATTTTGCTTACCTCAACCTCAGAGGTGTATGGTGATCCTCTCATCCATCCCCAGCCAGAGAGCTATTGGGGCAATGTCAACCCAATTGGTAGGCTCACACACTCATCACATTTTATTTTATATCTTATATATGCATGTCAGTTCACGGCCTTATAAGTTGGTTGCTATTATAAAAGGGGTTAGGAGCTGTTATGATGAAGGCAAGCGTGTGGCTGAGACTTTAATGTTTGACTACCACAGGCAGCATGGAATTGGTCAGTTGTATTTTCCCAAGACTTTAATGTGTCGACCTTTTTTGCCTGTAGTTTCATCAAGATTCTCTCATTGTTCTTCTACTGATTTACCTTGTGTTTGTTTGTTCTTTGTAGAAATCCGCATTGCCAGAATCTTCAACACTTATGGTCCACGCATGAACATAGATGATGGGCGTGTCGTAAGCAACTTCATTGCTCAAGCACTTCGGTTAGCTTCTATGCTGAATCTTTCAATCAAAGTTTTCTTTTTCCGAGCTTTAACCCAAATTGATCATTCTTGCCGTGAATATAAAGGGGTGAGGCATTGACCGTTCAGAAACCTGGGACACAGACCCGCAGTTTCTGTTATGTATCTGACATGGTCGATGGACTTATGCGCCTCATGGAAGGAGATGACACTGGTCCCATCAACATCGGTAACCCAGGTAAGCCTCGTAACACTCCTCCATTAAACCAAACACAAACCCACCAATCTCCTGAACTTGTTCTTTGTGTCTTAATCTTTGGTTTCTCAGGTGAGTTTACGATGGTGGAACTAGCTGAGACAGTGAAGGAGGTGAGAGACTGATTTCTCGATGGAAATGAGTTAAGTGTCTTTAGATTATTGTGTGTTCCTGTAATGATAAGCTGATTTTGGTTGCAGCTGATAAACCCGAGCATAGAGATAAAGATGGTTGAAAACACACCTGATGATCCAAGACAGAGGAAGCCTGACATCACAAAGGCTAAGGAAGTGTTGGGATGGGAACCGAAGGTGAAGCTCCGTGAAGGCCTTCCTCTTATGGAAGAAGACTTCAGGCTAAGGCTCGGAGTCCCCAAGAACTAAGAACTTGATCACCAAATCAAAAGCAAACGTAAATGCACTATAAGTCGATTCTACCTTTGAGTTTCCACGGTGCAGGTGATTGGTTTCATATGTAGTAATGTTTCTACTTTCTCAAATTGTTCGTAGAGAAAAATAAAGAGTACGAGGAACTTAACCTTTTTTATTACAGAAAGAAAAATTTACTTTCTTACAATTGCGTTTGCTTATACAGTATCGCTCGTCCTGCTTAACACAATATTAGCTCAAACTCCGCTTTTCAAAAACATGTGTTTAGTCTGATCTTGAGGCTCGTTTTTTTTCAAAGCGGATGACAAGGAACTACGTTATGAAAACAATTTCGCATTGTAATCGATCATCAAAGTTAAAACCAAAAGCTAATTACGCTACAACCTAAAGAAACTCTCTATCTATAAGATACAAGCTTTTATTGAAAGCCAATGATTTGTTGAGACTAGAAACCAAAACATATATAACGTATTCATTGGGGAAGGAAGACAGAGCCTTATTGAGATGTGAACTTGCATGAATTTTTTTTTTTGCAAAACTCGAAGAAATGGAGAAAAAGAGAATCCAGAATACATAAATTTCAGATTATTACTTTCTTGAGACAGTTTCAATAAAGACGCAAGAAATTCACGTTTTGAAACAATTCAAAAGCTGAAGCATCCACCCTATTTGCTAGAAATAAGGCTCTCAACTTCTACATTTGCTTCTGTTCATCATCACCTGAAACACCAAAACACAAGTTGAAATCTTAAGGATTTGGCTACAACTTTAAGGAGAGTCAATAATAGCAAACCAAAGCAATCAATACTGTTATTATCTAATGTCACACCGTGCAAGAACAACACAAGGAAAGAGACTCGTGTTAGTACCAGACATTTCTAGGCAATTCATAGACTTAAATGTCTAATTATCAATCTAGCAACTAAAATTTGATGAATTTTAATTCGACTTGGGATAATAGCAAAATGCAATTTGAGATACATCCACTTCATACGAATATGGATCCATTAACATAAACCTTAGAAACCTGAAGGCTCATTTGATCTAATCAACTCATGAAATTCGAAATCCAAAACTATCAAATTAATCAAGGTTGAGTTTTGGCTTTACCTCCTGTGTTGCTGGACGAACTTGGAGTTCTTCGCATCTTCCTCTGCAAATTATGCGAAATTAGGGATTTCCACAATTTTAAAACTTATCCAATAGAAACATAAATCCGATCTTAACCCATAATACAGAAACGAGTGGGGAGAAAAAAATGGATCTTTTTTTATTGAAGAGAAATGATCATTGGGATCCGACGACTTACCAGTGAGTCCGGCGGTTAGCTTGGTGATGAGGACGCCGGTGACGGCGAAACCGGTGAGGAATGGCCAGCAACGTTTCCATTCCCTCTTCAAGAACACCGGCCATGGATCGAACAGCCTCATCTCTCTCAATTTCTCTCTGCGCAAATGATTCTGATTCTCGCTCTCTCTCTCTCTCTCTCTCAGCTCCGGTTGTTGTCAGCTGACTGCTTCGCGTGAGAGAGACAAATCTGAACTAGTTTTGTAAAAAGGCTCGCATTTACTGTGGGCTTGTAGCCCTAAATTGGCCCATACTAAAAGCAGCTCCAACGCAAGTATCTATAGGGGTTTTACAGGTACTTTTAATTAAAAAGAAATGTTTTAATGGCATAATAAAGCAGAACCGGTCCTTTAGACCATGATTATCGGTCGATTTTCTTGGGTTTCTTTTTAAATTTTGGGCTTTTTTAAAAATCAAAAATGGGTTTAATAAAGTGGATCGATCCTTCTTTCGCGACTTTAAAGGATCGTTTCTCCTGTGTACGTGGCAGGATGTGATAGGAGGTTAAATTGGGGAGAAAATTTCTGAACAAATTTTTTTTTTTCCGCGACCATTCTTGTCTCGGGAGACATTCATCTCTTCTCCGTCGCCTCTGAATCCTCCTCGCGTCTTCTCCGACTTCGTGATGGCGTCGACGGTTCTACTTGATCTCGCGTCTTCTCCGACTTCGTGATGGCGTCTCGCATCTTCTCCGACTTCGTGGTGGCGTCGGCGATGCTTCTTCATCTACTTCGAACCGAGTGGTGAAATCGGTCTGAAGATTCGGAGCTTTCAAATCCTTGCATGGTAGGTAATTTCGTTATCAATCTTCTCATTTATCTCTTACAAGTGTTATTTCCTCTAAACCCCTTTGGTAATCGATATAGCTTTTGTTAATCGATTTGTGTTTAGGCTAAATGTTGTTTCAAATTAGATTGAGTTGGAAATCTTGTTTCTGGGATTTGGCTAGACGTTTGTATTGGATTCTTAGATGCATATGATTTGGTTAAGATGTTTTGATTTGGGGTTTAGGTATAGCGATATGGTTTGATATGATTTGATATCATTTGGTTCGACTTAGAGAATGAAACTTCATAGACCTTGTTATTTTTGATCGATGGTTTTGTTGGTTGTGTAAACTTCTTATAAATCATGTTTTGGTGTTTGTTTTTTAAGTTGGCTTTGGTGCTAATCTTTTGTTGTTTGTTCCAAGCTTTGGTTGCAGGTTTGTCCTTGTTCTTCATCAAACAAAGAGGAGAGAGGGATCATTCAACCAATATGTAAGGTTAGTTCACTGCTCTGGTTAGTTTAGCTTTGTAAAAGGGTTAGTGTAGCTTTGTATAGGTATTAGTGATTAGGCGTGTAATAAAGTGATAGTAATAAATGGTTTAGGGGCTTTGGTTCGCTTTGTGTTGAATGCTGGTATGGTGATGAATGCTTTGTGTCATGTCGATATGGTTGTGTGTGTGTTGAATGCATTTGTGCTCTTTCTTCTCTTCTCTTGTTACCTTTTTTTGCATCTACTTCTTCTCATTCTACTTAAACGAGTCATTGAACTCTCTTCTCAAATTGCCTTGTTATCTTTCTTCTCTTCTTGTTCTCATTCTTGTTCTCTTCCATCTCTTCTCAACCCTCTTGCCTTGTTCTCTTTCTTCTAAACCCTCTTCTCTTCGTTTTCTTCAACTCCTTCAACTCGTTCACCTTCATTCAGGATATGTCTTCATATCCCTTCAGCCATTCCTCTCATTTTGTTGAACTGTTGAACAGTCAACAAGAGAGTGCAGCTACTTACCCTTGCGTGGCACTTGGATCATCACAGCCTCCATTCTTCTGCTCACAAACGATCCATGGAGATGCAAGCTGCGGAGAAGACAAGGAGAAGGATAGAACAGCGAGGAAGCAGTGGACGCCGAGTGATGACATTCTTCTCATAAGCTCCTGGCTCAACACCTCTAAAGATCCGGTGGTCTCCAACGAGCAGAGGAGTGGTACTTTTTGGAGTCGAATAGCAGAGTACTTCGCAAAGTCAAAGCCAGCAGGAAGTCAAACCCGAGAAGCCATTCAATGTAAGCAGCGGTGGCAGAAGATAAATGAAGCTGTTTGCAACATTAACCTTCCTCAGGGTCAGAAAGCAACATTATTTGTTGAACGTCAAGAGGGGTTCCGAAAAGATGTGGAGCGTGCTTTTGGAGTTCTGCAAGCTCGATTTGCCATTATTAAAAATCCGGCTCTTAGTTGAGATAAAGAAAAAATTGGAAAAATTATGAGGGCTTGTATCATTCTCCACAACATGATAGTAGAAGACGAACGTGACGGATACCAGTTTAATGTTACTGAGTTCCAACAAGGAGAAGGAGAAGGAAATGCACAGGTGGATCAAGAATACTCTACAGACATGCGTTCAAATATCGTTGAGATGTTCAATAATCGGAAAAGAGTTCGGGATATACAAATTCATCACCAATTGAAAGCAGATTTGGTTGAGCATATATGGCAACGATTTGGAGATCATTAAGTTAATAACTGAGTTTTATTGTTAAATTTGGATTATTTCAAATATTAAGAATATTCTGTTAAGTTTGTGTTGTTTTCTAATTTTGATTATTAATATCTTAAGTTTGTGTTATTTTCAAAATAATAATGTAATTTCCTAAATAATAAACTTTTCAAAAAAAAAAAATTTACAGAAATTCATCTAAGTTTCTCCAATATACAACAAAATAACATAAGTTTCTTTAGGAATTTCTTCCCTTAACTTTAATAATAGAACTAGATGAATACCCGCGTGTACATACGGGTGTTTTGTTTGTTTTAATATACATTATAGAACTACATTTTTCTACAAAATTAACCTGTTTTTTATTTTTGATAATATAAATATCATCTAGATTTGTAAAAATAAAGTCATTAAATGTGATTTTTTGTTTAATATAATTTATTAATAGACATTTTTTTATAAGATTAATCTAATTTTTTGTATTTGGTAATATGAATATCATATGAACTCGTAAAAATGTAGTCATTATTTTTTGTAGATGTAATACTTGTTATTTTTGCACCCAACCAAATATTTCTTCATTATTATTTTTCTCAACCTGTTTTTTTTGTTTGTTAGTTAATTTTTAATGATAAAATATATATTTTGTAAGACAAATTTAAAATATTCACCAAATCGTATTTTTAACGCATTTCCATCATTCAGAGATATGTTTTCGCATATATTTTGTGTTAAAGATTAAAGCAGAGAGAGTGAGAGTGGAAAAAATATGATATTGTAGTTTACGAAACCTCTATTTTTTGTGATGAACTGAGCAACCTGAAATGTTATATCCCCAACTGACCTTATTAATGATTCTTCAGCTTATGTCTAATCACTACAAATAGGAAGAGCGTCAGGAAGATGGTTTTTGTCGAGAGACTTGGTGCACTTGGAAGTAAAGAGCAAATATTGAATTTAAATGAAATTAAACCCTACAAACTCGTCCTGTTCACAGTCCATATTACATGTTTATTTGAAGAATTAAGTCCTTTAAAAAAAATTCCGCATTACCTTCCATTGGAAACATGTCTTCGATATCATAGATGAAGATCAGAAGTCTAAAAGAGCAGATGAGACACAAGCCAATCAGGCAACCAAAGGATAAGGACATCAACTTTTTGCACATATCTATGGCACTTTTGTCTCAAGCTCCACTCTCAAACTTCCCTTCTTGACGAAAAGTTATAGCTACCATCCCATATTTAATATCATAACTGAAACTTCAAATCATACATCGAATAATAAAGTAAGAGACTTTCAACCAAAATTCAAAATAGATTTTATTAGAATTTAGAATTTCAAGAGCTGACCTTGAAGCTTTGTCATTGATTTGCTTAAACAATACAGCTCATTTCCTTGTCTTCTTTGACTAATCAATCAAGATTAAAGGAAAAAAAAATCAATGAGCATAATTTGAACTTAATCGTTCGAGATTAGCTAAATTCCTTTGAGATGAGCTTTTCTTAACAATCAGGCCAAATTCCCAACATAAACAATTATAAGAGCTTACTCTTTACTTCAAATCTTCCCTTCAAAACCATCTTATCCTCTACTTTCTGCCTCGTCTCACCAAGTGTCTTCTCTACGTTGTCGTGCTTCTTCTTTGTGCCCAAACAGTGTTGTGTTCTTCCTTGTTCTTGTTGATTTCTACCCGAGACTTCAAGTCTCAATCCTTTATCCCGGTGATAGCGTTGTCATCGGTGGGTATGCCTTTATTCAAAGAAAATGAATCAATGTCTATGTAAACAAAATCAGAATGAATTGAATACAAGGAATATAATGTAACTTTCAAAAACCCATAAATCAAAGAGGAGACGAAGAATAAAAAATCTTACCTATTGACTTGTGGAATTTTGAGTCGATATTAGAAAACATTGGAGATTGTTTGAGATTGTTTGAGATTCCATCTTTCCAACTTCCAAAATGGAAATTAATTTGCAGTTCATTATGAACCATAAATTAATATGCACTTTTCTTTCGGTTTCTGTGTTCAATTAAAAATGAAATTAGTATAATTTAATAATTTAATTCTCTCATAATTTTTTTTAATCTGATGTGTCAAAAAAAAGGATGCTGATGTGTCAAGATTGTGAGACTCAAATGAGTCTTTATATAATAGATAATAAGAGAGAAACTCAAATGGATTTCTCCAATAAACATGGTCTTATTTAAGAGGTTGAAGAACCTCTATTAAAACTCATACGTGTCCATTTCTCATTGGTCACATGTGTTTTTTTTTTTTTAATTAAATACTCTGGTAGAGTCTTTGTCACATTTTTTTTGAGAAAGACATTTTCTCCTTCGACATTTCTCCTTCGGCTAACGACCAAAACTCGAGTACATCACACGAGCCAACGGCCAACACAACGTAAGACCAGGCTTCGCCACACGCCGCCCATGGAAGTAAATGCTCGACCTCCACTCCTTCGACTTCCCGTGCAAAATAGCCATCGTGATCACCAGAGTCGGAGCCAATGCCGTCTACTTCCAAACCAACTACACCATAGTCGTTCTCTTCTCCGTCTTCCTCAGCCTGGTCTGGAATTACTTCTCCCTCTATCCTACACACCTTAATCGGCGCGTGGCTCTTCCTCTACTTCCTCCATGACGAACCGCTCACTGTATTCGACCGCGACATCGACCACCGTCTCGTCATTATCTTCATGTCCGTTCT